GATATTATCCAAAGTTAGGGAAGCTTTGCAAACTGTGCTCTTAATCTGCAATATCTGCTTAGTATGGGTAGTCAGCATCAGTACTACACTGCAGCTAAAGAACATACTGCAACACTTGACCTCTTCACCCTATCTCTTCCACCCCTGAATGAATTTTTAAAGCATTACAAAAATTAGGACCTTTCTGGTTATGGTCTCAAAAATAACAAATGTTAACATGTGTTCAACTCCGATTTGATCCTCAGCACAGTACAGTTCCCCATCAAACCCTCTCTTGCAAAAACCACTGGATGTAGCCCTAGAGACGCAAAACCCCGTCAGGGTGGCCCAGGTAATCCCCTGAACCGGAGCTGCAGGGCCTGAGCAACAGTGCATCTAACTAGTTGAGAATCAATGGGAAAGGGCCCCAAGTTTCTTGAGCACTGTCTAGAAACCCTCCTCCAGATATATATTCATCGATTTGCTCGAGCGGGCCCAGTAACGTTTCCATTTTGAGACTTGCTGTTACTGTGTTTGACATACTGAATACTCTCAGTAGCTTGCTGGGCTCACCGAGAGGGGTGGAGGAATCGAACCCGGCTCGGCCGGGCTGGCTGCGTGCAAGGCAAACGCCCTACTGCTGTGCTAAAGAAACAAATTATTTTTTAAGCTCAGATTTTTTTTAGTTTAATTTTAAAAGTCTTGAGCTTGTTTGGAGGTTCTAGCAGGGGAGCGCAGCTACTCGTATACCCTCGACCGAAGACCGGTCCGTCTCTATCCGGGAAGGCCGTCCTCTTCGACCGAGCGCACAGCTTCGGGAGGGACGCACATGGAGCGGTGAGGGAGGAAGGGGACACCCGCCTAGCCAGCCAGATCAGCCAAATCAACCCTGGTGATCAATGGGGTGACAGATGTCGCAGCCAGATCGCCCTCACATCCATAGCACAGCGGGTAGGGCGTTTGCCTTGCACGCAGCCAACATGGCCGACCCGAGTTCGATTCTTCTGCCCCTCTCGGAGAGCCCGGCAAGCTACCGAGAGTATTCGATATGCCAGACACAGTAACAACAAAGTCTCCAATGGAGACGTTACTGGGCCCGCTCGAGCAAATCGACTATCAACGGGAGGGTCTTTACCTTAAAAGTCTTTAAAAAGGCAGTAAGTCAGTAAGAAATAATTTTAAGATAAAATCAAGCGCTTTAATGAAAAACATTAGAAAGGAGTCTGTCATAATTTCTTACATAATTAAGACTAGCTTAATGATAAAATAATCTTTAAGTTCATTCTTAGCTATCCTAAACATAGATGTCAGAAAATATAAGATCCAGATGTTATTTTCTAACTGCTTCTCCAAAAAGCTCATTTTAGACTGTTATAGATAATTTAGATCAGTGAAAATGTGAGATTCAGTCATTATATTCTAACTAAACCTACAAATCAGAGAGCCCGGCAAGCTACCGAGAGTATTCGATATGCCAAACACAGTAACAACAAAGTCTCCAATGGAGACGTTACTGGGCCCGCTCGAGCAAACCGACGATCAACGGGAGGAAAAAAAAAAAACCTACAAAAACCTTATTTTAGTCTTGCCTTTGATCAGAAACATTATCAGAACTACATAAAAAAAGCATCATTTATTACTACACTAGAAGATACAATTACTTTTCCTATTATTTTGACTTTAAAGAAGACCTCAAGACTTTAAATCGGAAATTGACAGGATTATATGGCTCAGTTTTCTACCCTTCATAACATCTAACCATATGCCAGTCTTTCCCGGGGTGAAAAGGGCTATGTGTAGTAGAGCAGAAAAAACAGCCTTCGAATAAAATAACAAAAACCTTTAGTAATGACTGAGTCTCATTTTCCTCTAGTAAAATTAAAGAACATACCCTTAGGAACCTTTAAGTTTTCTAGAGAGATTGTAGAAGAGGTTTTAAAGCACTTGCCTAGCATGCAGCTCCAACAACCACAACCACGGTTCAAATCCCAGGTACCACATATGGCTGATCTCCTGAGCACAACCAGGGATTATTCCTGAGCATGGAGCCAGAATGAGCCCCTAGGTACCATTAGGTGTGTCTCACCAAAGACTCTTACAGTTTCATCCTGGTAATACATTCTGAATCTACTGGCCCAGAGTCCTGCAGTTGGCCCCTGAACATGAGATAGACACACATCAGCTTGAGGTCATTCTTCCTGTTCTGTATGACCCACAAGTATCATAAATATCCAAATGCTCTTGAAAGAAAAGTAAGTTCTCCACACCTGCCAAAAACAATAATGAAAGTGGCAATATTTAAGAAAAATGAAATATATATAAACAACACTAAGAGTTATAAAATATCGCAGTGGCTTTCCAAATACAAACCTTGATTTTAAGTGCTTCACTGCAAAGTGATTACAACCTTGGATTATAAAATTGGGTGAAAGAGACTGAAATCCTGTTTAATCTGGTCAAGTAAGATCTCTAAATTTGCTTCTTTATAACCTTGCTACCTTATATGGTGATTGTGAATAGTACATAGAACTATAGCAAAAAAACTGTCATACAGTAAACACACAATAATCCTGCAATTATTATTAACTTTGGGGGGGGAATGATACACAGGACTATTTTTTTAATCTTTTTTTAACTTTAAAACCAAAGTTTAGGATCCTATTACTAATAAACGCTCAGATTGGCCTGAATTTTATTCCTAAACGTTCCTACAAATTTTACTAAAATGAATTAAATAAAAATAACTGGTATTAAGTAGCTCAGCAATAAAGTACAAGCCTTGTCCCTGGGTTCTATTCCCAGCACTAAACCCCCCAAAAAGGATGCGTTAATTTTTTATTAATAGGAAATAGATTCTAGTATTAGAGTTAAATTCTTTGCCCCTTCTTTTTTTCCTATTTCTGTAAGAACTAAAGAAAAAAGAAAAATATAGGGCAGAAAATGAGACATAAAGTTGAATTATTTTAAGCTTTAATTAAAAGTCAAATACAATTTTGGAGGGAAAACCTAAAATGAAAAGGCAAATAGAACACAATACAGATTATTAAAAAAAACTCTCCCTTCCAAATACCAACTCATACTTCTGTTGGATCTTAAAGATTTTCCTGTCTATAGTCCCCAACATGTTCTTTCAATACCACAATCTTATCTCCAGCATAACTTAAAAGCCACTCTGGTGGGCATTTGTTGAGATAATCACACTTAACATCTTCCACAAACACAAACTGTCCTCCCATTGTTCATGGATTTGCTCGAGCGGCGCCAGTAACGTCTCCATTTTGAGACTTGTTACTGTGTTTGGCATTGAAAGCTTTGCTGTGCCAGTGAGATACTCAGTAGTTTGCCGGGCTCTCCGAGACGGGGGCTGGCTGCGCAAGGCAAACGCCCTACCGCTGTGCTATAGCTCCAGCCTACATCTTCCACAGATCTATACATTAACTTACACAGATCTACACATTGACTTACACATTAAGACCAAATACTGGACACCATTTTCAACGACTTATTTTTTAATCTGTCTAGACACATAAAATGTATTTAAATACTTTTTTCTTTTTAACCCTGATTTATGGCAGTTCTAGCTACGGTCTACCCACAGACCCTTGGATCATTCTGGGCCAGGTATTACAGGACTTATGGTTCAGTGTTCAGGGGCCACCAAGTTCAATAGGGCAAAATCAATAAGTATCTTCACAATGCCACCAGAAAAATACCGTAAACATAATAGGACAGAAAAAGAGGCTTCAACTAAGGACCCGGTAGGCCTCTCTGACGTAGCAACAGCAGCAAACAAGATATAAAACAAGAGAACACTTAGAGAAATGGGGGGGAGGAGGGGCGTGGGAGGGTGGCAAACAACAAATAACATGTATAAGACCTCTAAGGAAAACAGTTTGATTTGTTCAAGAAACATCATCACCTTGCAGCTGACTAGGCAGGAGTGACTTGCTAGAACTAAGGTAGAACTGGCAGCTGACAAATTATGCATGCCCCTGAGGAGGCTGAGAAACTCTGATTCAATTTTAAGGGTAAGGGAAGCTTGTGGCAGATTTCAAGGAAGAGAATGGCAATTTGACTTTTACTATATCAAGATCACTGACTGTTATGTAGGAATCTCTCCCAAAGGGAGCAGGGGAAAGGATACCAGCAGGGCACTGTTCTCAAAGTCTAAGCAAACACTACAACTTCAACTAGAACTCATGTAATGTTTAGAAATAGGTACTCAGAAGACCACAGCCTAATAATCTGTCCACGAAAGACATTTTTAAAATTCTCCTTCCACAGTCACATGTCCCTGAATTTTTAAATACCATGTTAACACTTTCATTAGTCAATGTTTCTAAATGCTGTGGTTTGACACATTCGAATCTCATTAATACAGCAATTTTCAACCTTTTTTGTCTTCTAACCAGTCAAACAGGAAAAATACTTTATGGACTGCTAAGGAAGCAATAAAAAACGTCACTTATCCTACTTTGTGTCTTTGTTTTTAAATCTCATAGGATTAAATAACTATAGTTACTTGAATTTAAAATAGCAAAACTCTGAAGTTTTGAGGAAATCTCTGAAGACTACTAGCGCAATATGGCCAATTTTTTAATAAGCTTCTAAGACATCTGCTAGAGCAAAGTTCTAAGGCTATTACTTTAAGAATTGCTCCTTTTCTGAGAGACAAGAAGGACCTTATCACCGTTCCCAGTTCGCTTTCTTCACAGGCTTTGTCCGAAGCCCACCTGAATTACTTCAGAAAGGAATGCTGAGGTGAGGGGTACTGTCTGAGAAGTACTGAGTACTTACTCAGTACCAAGAACTCACTGCACGCCTTCCACCGCAACGTTTCAAACTTCACCTAACCCTCAGCTCTAATCCTCAGCCACCAAACACGGAGGAAACCCTGTAGGGTGTTCACTCCACAGGAGGAAAACAAACCTAGAGAGACTAAATTATTCAAGATCACACAGCAAGTGAGGAGCAGGATCAGAATTCCAATCTCCCCTCTTTCCGAAGAGGCTGCCTCCGGGATGGCGCCAGCCACCACAAAGACGGCTGCACGACCTCCCGCCCGCGGCCAGCCAGGGCCGGCGACGACAGGGCCAGGGGCACCGAGACGCCGGGGTCAGTCAGTCAGGGCCGGCGACAGGGGTGCCCTAGATGCGGGGCCAGTCAGTCAGGGCCGGCGGCGACGGGGCGCCTCAGACGCCGGGGTCAGTCAGTCAGTCAGGGCCGGCGACGACAGGGCCAGGGGCACCGAGACGCCAGGGTCAGTCAGGGCCGGCAACGACGGGGCGCCCCAGACGCAGGGGTCAGTCAGGGCCGGCGACGACAGGGCCAGGGGCACCGAGACGCCAGGGTCAGTCAGGGCCGGCAACGACGGGGCGCCCCAGACGCAGGGGTCAGTCAGGGCCGGCGACGACAGGGCCAGGGGCACCGAGACGCCGGGGTCAGTCAGTCAGGGCCGGCGCCCGGACGGGGCGCCCGAGAGAGACGCAGGGCGGGCGACAGGGCGGCGTTCTCCCCGGCCCCGAGTCCTGGGGTCGGTCGGCCGGGAGGCGGCGGGAGCGCAGAGACCCGACGCCCCGCGTCGCAACTGCCGTCCCGGCGGCGGCTCGGAGCTGGTCGGACACGGCTGCCTCGGCTCCGCCACCGGGAGCACTGCGATGGGAGTTCTGGGACTCTCGCCCGGAGCCGCGGGGAGAAGGACACAAAGGGGGCGGCCGGCCCGGGCCGCCCCGGCGCGTGCAACAGGCGGAGCCGCGGGCGCGGGGTCGGGGCCGCCCGGGCTCGGGGCGGGCGGCGGGTGGGGCGGCCCCACCGGCGCGCGGACGGCGGCGGCCCGGCCGAGGGACGCCGCGCGGGCGCCGGGGAATGGCGGTCGGAGCCCCGCGCCGCAGCGGCCGGGAGGTCACGCGTCACGCGCCGCGCCGGGGCCGCGGGCCGCCGCCTCGGGCCTCGGGGAGCCGCGTCCGGCCGCGCCCCGCCCCCACCCGCCGCCCGCGGCCGCTCACCTTCCGCGCCGCCGCGGCCCAGCATGCCCGGCACGGCCGCCTCCGGGGCCTCGCGCTGCCGCCGCCGCGCAGGGCCTCGCCGCGCTCGCCCGGGGCCCGCACTGGGCGCTGCGCCGCGCCGGGCCGCCTCACCTCGCGCTCCCGGACCGGCTCCGCGCCGCCGCCGCCGCAGCCCCCGCCCCGCCCCCACGCGGGCGCGCGCGCCGCCGCCCCGCCCCGCCCCGCCCCGCCCGCGGGCGCGCGCGCCGCCGCACCGCGCCTCCTCCTGCGGCAGCCGGAGCGCCCAGGCTCCGCCCCGCCCCCCCAGCGGCGGCCCGCGCGCTCTCAGACTCCGCCCTCTTGGGCCGCGCCGCGCGCCCGGGCCCCGCCCCCGCCAAGGCCGTCGCGCCCCGCCCCCTCCGGCCGCCGCCGCGCCTCAGACCCCGCCCCCTCCGGGGACCAGCGAGCCCAGCCAGACCCGCCCCCTCCGGGCACCAAGGCTCTCTGGCTCCGCCCCCTGTGAAGAGCAGCGCGCCCAGGCCCCACCCTCTCGGAGACCAGCGCGCCCAGGCTCCGCCCACTACAGGGACCAGCTTGCCCAGGCCCCGACGCCTTTGGAGACGAAGCGCCCAGGCCACGGTCCCTCTGGGGACCAGCGCACCCAGGCCCGCCCCTGCGAAGACCAGAGCGCCCTGGCCCCGCCCTCTATGAAGACCAGAGCGCCCTGGCCCCGCCCCCTATGGAGACCAGAGCGCCCTGGCCCCGCCCCCTATGGAGACCAGAGCGCCCTGGCCCCGCCCCCTACGGGGACCAGCGCGCCAGGTCCCGCCTCCGTTGGAGAGTCGAGCACCCAGGCCCCGCCCCCCACGAGACCAGCGAGCCCAGGCCCCGCCCCCGCTCTGCCCGGCTCTGCGGCGGCCGCCGCCCGGCCCGCCCTCGCCTTTTTTTTTTTTTTTTTTTTTTTTTTTTTGCGCGGCGCCGGGCACGTGACAGCCTGGCCGGGCTGAGCTCCCGGCGGAGCAGTGCCCGGGCGGCTGCGGCCGCCAGCGCTGCGGTCCTGCCCCTGCGGGAGCTCTTCGTAACCCCCCGGGGCCGTGCGGGAGGACTCGCGGGCCTCCCGCGGGCTGCCGGGCCACAGTGACCTCTAGTGGCCCGGGGCCCCGTGAGCGGCTCCGAGCACTGTGGCGCGGGCCTCCTGCGGCCAGCCCCCTGCACCCAAACCTCTCCTGTCCCGGTGCTGGAGCAAGGCCTGTGCGCGGGCCTGCGTGGGTCCTGACGTTCTGACGTGCCCGAGTGTGCAGGTCTGCAGGACCTTAGTTCAGAGAACGGTCAAGGAACTTCCACGGCCCTTTTTTCCATGTTACGGACTTTTGTTAATGCACTTCAACTTCAATATTCGTGTCGTGAACTCAGCAAAATCAGGCCACGTGCTCTACAGGAGACGTCATAATGCAAATGGCGTGATTTCAACAATAATTTCGACCAGTTGCCAATTGCAAGACCAACTGAGCTGTCACCAAAAGCAGCAGCCCTTATTATTTTTAAAACTTACTTCTCTAAATAAAACTTATTTCCCTAACCACAAACGGCAAAGATCAAGATTCAAAATAATACTTTTTAAAAAATAGCCTCTAAACTTAAAGGAGCTTTTGTTTTTCCATTTTGAGTTTTATCCCCACTCTCCTATTTCAGTCAAAGATCTTTTTTTTTAAGTTTCTTAAGCAAAAAAGACATTGAGCTACTGACCTTAGCAACAACATAGAAATATTAAGCTGTACGTTGGTGCAAGACATTCAGCATCTTCCTTAAGAAGGAAAAATCACGTGTTGCTCTCTAGGTAGAATAAAATAAGGAGATGAAGTACATAAATAAGTATACAAATTCAAGAATCGAACAAATTTGCAGAAGTATGATTTCTGCACATTGTGGAATTTTCTGTATTAAATTGTCCCACAAAGCCAGAAGAGCCTTTCACTTTATAATAAAATTGAAACGAAACATTAATGAAATGGAAATGAAAGGATCTTTTATAGCAAAATATAAATTTTGAAATATTCTATTCACTGTGTTTGTTTTTGTTTTGGTGTCACACCCAACTGTACCCAAAGCATACTCCAAACAGCATGTTCAGGGATCAACCTGTGGGACCCAGGGTCCGATCAGTGCTAGTTACCTGCAAGGAAAGTGCCTCAATCTTTATACTATCTTTCTGGCCCAATTTCCATTTACTTTTAGTTTTCTTTTTTTTTTTTGGGGGGGTGGCAGTGTGGAGGAGGGAGCATGCCTGGCAAGACAATACTCAAGGTTCACTCTTGGCAGGGTTTGAGGAAACCTATGCGGTGCTGGGAATCAAACGGGGGTCTGTTGCATGCAAGGCAAGGATACCGGCTGTCCCGTTTCTCCCGTCTGAACAACACATCACAATTAGTTATATTGTTTTGTCTTGGGGTCACACCCAGAGGTACTCAGAGCTTTCCCCTGGCTCTGCACTCAGGAGCACTCATGGCAGGGCTTGGGGGACCATATGAGATGCTGGGAATCAAACCCAGGTAAGACAAATGACAAGGCAAGTGGCCTACTCATTGTACTATCTCTTTCTTTGTTTTTGGACCACACTCAACAGAGCCCAGGGTTTACTCCTGGTAGGGCTCAGGGGAACCACTGTGGTGCTTGGATCAGACCCAGAGAGGCAGCAAGTAAGTCAAGTGCCCTACCTGCTGTTCCATCTTTCTATCCCCTCTATTTATTTTTACGAGCACTATCTTTCCCTGTCTAAGAGAAGCTGCGCCGAAATTTGGGGAAGAAATCTGAGAAAGCTGCTCAGACTCCACACTTGGGGGTGTTTGGAAGCACTGCACTTCATTTCTCTTCTGAACTTCATTAAAATTCACTTTTGAGATTTCTATCATTACTGGCATCTCAAGAGACCTATAAAGACACAGACACATGATCCTAGCTGGGAAATGCCTGGGTAAAGGCACAATTCTGCTCTCCATTGACTTCTATGTCCTTACTGTAAATTTTTATTGGAAACATCCACATTTGGAACAGAGGTGGGGGTAGGGGGACAGAAACGTAGAAGAGAAAGAAAAGGAACTCCCTAAGTGGGGAGGATCTTAGCCTAGGACTAAGTTCAAAATCTGTATCATCTCTATCAAACACCCAAACAACAGACACTGAAACATGAAAACTTCTTTAAAAACAGAGATTTGTTCTCTAGTGCCCAGGTTGACACAGAGTAACTCATGATCTTCTCTAGGAAAGAGCCATCTTGGTGATGTATGTGATAAGGCCCTCACTACATTATGCTGAAAAAGAAAAAAAAGGATGAGCACGAACCCACAGAAACTAAAATGGAAGTTGGAACTAGAATTCATCCAAGATTCAGTTCTTCTACACGGTATTATCAGTTCTTACTGTAATGACAAATAAGAAGTTGTTTGTAACGAGAATTATGAAACTATAATGAAAATTAAGAAAATGTGATGGGGTCTGGGAAACTGAAACTGACCTCCTAAATTAAACAAAAGAAGGGTGGGAGAAGCTTCATTTTATGACCCAATTAATAGACCCCACTAGTCCACCAAATTGATGGGAGCACACTGATTGATTGTATTTTTTTTTTACTTATTACCTCTATACCTCCTGTTTCGCTGCTAGGTATGTGTGTAGATTGTAGCCCACCTTTAGAAGCTGAAAGAGAGACCCTCTCAGCAGCCGGCGCTCCAAGACTCTTTCTCTCCTGACCTGGGGTCCTCAGCGGTGAGCCTCTAATAAACTCACTATCCTCCCCTGAGCTGTCTCTTTTTGTTCATTCGCGGCTCGCACAACACTTACAATTAAAAGAGGAAAATTAGGGCAGAGGAGAAGCTCAGAGAGTAGGTAGCATGTTTCTGCATGTAGGAGACCCGCTTTGATCCCTAGGACTACACGTTGTCCCAGCACTGCCACAACCAACACTCAAATATTAAGCCTGGAGTCACCTCGAGCACCTCCGGTTGTGACCTTAAAATATAACTATGGACAAGTGAACCATTTTTACACAACACAAAAATTATTCAACAGTTAGATATGATGGGTATTCTGAATGCCAGGGCCTCTTGGACCAGCAGTAAATAAAATGCATTTCCTTCCCTCAAAAGTTTTCTATGCAGGCATGGAACAATGATACAGTGAGTAAGGCATTCCCCTTGCACACAGTAGACCTAGGTTCGATCCTGGCACCATTTATGGTCCCCACAAGCATAGCCAGGAATGATCTCTGAGCACAGAGCCAGGAGTAAGCCCTGAGCACTACTGGATGTGGCTCAAAATACAAACAAACAAAAGCAAAAAGGAAAAAGGAAAAAAGGTGCAGTAAAGGAGATAAATCAAGCGGCTTCAAGGCAGGCTCCAGGCTATTCCCAGGGAGTTTTATGGATAACTTAGAAAGGGTATCAGAGAAGGCTTGAGGAGGTGATCAGTGGTAAAGTGCATGCCTTATATGTTCAAGTCTTGGGTTTGACCCTCAGTGCCCTCAAACAAAAGGAAAGAACATCAGGGAGACTTCGAGAGCAATGATTTTCAACCTTTTTTTTTTACCTGCAGACCAATAAAAATGAAAGAAATAATGTGTGGGATGCTAAGGCAGAAAAGTAGCATTATTTAACAATAAGGACATTTGCCTTGCAGGCGGCGGACCAACCAACCTGAGTTCAATTCCTCTGCCAGCAAGCTACCAAGATCTCGCCTGCAGGGCAAAGCCTGGCAAGCTACCTGTGAAGTATCTGATATGCCAACAAGTAAGTAACAACAAGTCTCACAATGAAGACGGTATTGGGCCTGCTCGAGCAAATCGATGAATAATAGGAGGACAGTGCTACAGTGCTACTAATTTTGTGGGGTTTCCTTGCGGTTGTTTAGGTTTCTTATTAATTTGGGGCTCTTTCGCAGTAGTGTTCCTAAGCAGTAGAAAATTGAACCTGGGGTTGCTCCAGGCAAAGCTTGCTCTCCAGGTCTCTTTTGACATTGAAATTCTATAATCGCTTACATTTAAATAATAAGAAGTGAGGGACTAGCTTAAAGGGCTAATGTTCATGCTTTGAATGTGGAAGGCCTGTATTGAATCCTTAGCACAATCCTCCCCCCACCCCCCATGAGGGGTTCAGAAGTAGCCCCTGAGCATGGCCAGGTGTAACCTTTCCCCTCCAAAAAAAAAAATTCACTAGAAATTGAACGGTAAACAAAAGTGCTAATGAGAGAATACCTTGACCATTCAAGAAAGCAATTATTTAATTTGAATAACTGTAGTGCTGGAGAGACAGCACAGCTGTGTAAGCCTTGCCTACCTGGGTTCAATTCCTCTGCCCCTCTCCGAGAGCCCGGCAAGCTACCCATGACGTATTCAATATGCCAAAAACAGTAACAAGTCTCACAATTTGTTGAGACGTTATTGGTGCCTGCTCGAGCAAATTGATGAACAACGGGAGGACAGTGCCACAGTGCAATTGTAGAGCAAAGTTTGCGAACTGCAGAATTGTTTCA